GTGTGTATCTGTAAGTTGCAAACCTGCAATGACGCAGCGGCAGCAGAACTGGAAGAAGAAGCAGAAGACAGCCAGTTCCACTGCGGGCCTGATAGAAGCCCTCTGGGGGCCTGATCCGGCCCCCGGGCCACATTTTTGACACCCCTGCTTTAAAGTGTTCCACTGAATGTTCATTCATGTGAACATATATCAGCTGGGGAAGGCAAGGAATCATCACCCCTAGATGCATGTCCATTCAGGATCCAAGCACTGCCATAAAATTAGCTTCATATCAAAGATCTATTGGTCCACATAATTCTTAGCCACTGAATTACACCTGCTGCTAAACCACACCACATCCTCCTCACGCCTGTTTCCACACAGTGCATCTCTCCTGCTCCAAACAATTCAGCGCCAGCTAGACTTTTGAACATTTATGGTCTTCCAGAGTAGTTGATCACATCACGGTTCTCTCTGCACTAACGATATTCCCAAATCTACCTCCAAACAATTAGCCTAATCCAATTAGAGAGACCCAAGTCTATATTTCTTAATGCAGTCTTCTGATTTATTACGGAGAGTTCATTCTTAGTTTAAAGTCTGCTTGGGAACGGAACAGCACAGTTTGTTTCCCTGTGCGTTTGCCGGCTGCACTGAACACTTGGATAAGTGTTTTATTAACAGAGAAAACAGAGAACAGAAAATAGCAAGAATTAGTTATAGGGACACGGCACGGATCAGAAGTCAGAGGAGCACAAAGAGAAGAGGATTATGCTTGGACCAGAAAAAAGAAAAAAACAAACCAGCACCAGGTCTCCTTCGTTCACCTTCGAAGCAGTTTCGTTTTCTCAGTATTTCTCATAGAACTCACATGGACACATGGAGCAGTGTTATACTGAATCAGACCCTCAGTCCATCAAAGTCAGAATTGTCTACTCAGACTGAAGATGCTGGGGATTGAACCCGGGACCTTCTGTAAGCCAAGCAGGATCCAGCGGGGCTCTTCTGATGTTCTTATCAGCCAGTTTGGTGTCGTGATTAAGTACACAGACTCTAATCTGGGAGAACCGGGTTTGATCCCCCACTCCTCCACTTGCACCTGCCGGATGACTTTGGGCATCTCCTCTCCTCCTCCTCCAAATATAAGACAGGCTCTTTAGCTTTAAGAAGTTACAGATCTCTATGAAGTTACCATTACTTTGAAGCTCCCTTTGGCTGTCCAGGCCACCTACATGATCAATGGCTGCCTCCTCAGTGGAGAGGTCCCTGCCTACTCATGTCCTCAGCACCCAAGGGAAAGAAAAGAGATGTCCTTCCTGTTGCAAGGAGTTTTAATCATATCTGTTTCTCCATCCACCAACCCAATAACACCAGGTCAAAGAGGTATCTCCTGGACAGTCTTCCTTGGATCTTTCTAGCCTAATGTCCTCCAAAATTCTCTGTTCCCCACTAGGAGGAGGAGAAGGAAGAAGAAGAAGAAGAGGAGGAGGAGGAGGAGGAGGAGGAGGAGGA